AATTTTTTTGTATTTTTAGTAGAGACGGGGTTTCACCATGTTGGCCAGGCTGGTCTCGAACTCCTGACCTCAGGTGATCCACTGGCCTCAGGCCTTCAGAGTGCTGGGATTATAGGCGTGAGCCACTGCGCCTGGCCAAAATGCTATCTTTAGACACCACCCAGGCCATGAAAATTTTTGTTCAAACAAATGTATAAAACTGATGAATCAGAAGTGTTCTGATGACAATTAGCATTTGTGGAGTCCCTACTGGAGTCAGATGCCATCCACGGGCTTTTTTTTTTTTTTTTTTTTTAATGAGACAGGGTCTCGCTGTATCACCCAGGCTGGAGTGCGATGCAGTGGTGCAATCATGGCTCACTGCAGCCTCAACCTTCTGGGCTTAGGTGATCCTCCCACCTTAGCCTCCTGAGTAGCTGGGACTACAGGTGTGTACCACCACACCAAGCCTAAGTGTCCCAAATTGCTGGGATATAGATGTGAGCCACTATTCCTGGTCCCATGGGCTTTCATGAGGATTAAATCTCAGAATCTCCTCAAGTGGTTCTGTGAGGTAAAGACAGTTATTCCCATTGTACTGATGAGGAAATCAAGGCACAGAGAGAATTTGCCCAAGGCACCAAAGCAAGGAAGTGTCAGAGCCTGGAGCTGAACTCAAGGAGACTGTCTGCGGAGTTGATCCCAGTTAGGGGACCATTGCTGCTCTCTACCCAACCCCGGATCCTATGCCCCACGTTCTATTTCAGCACACACCTGCTAAGTAGACAGAGATCCCACAGCAGAAAAGGCCAAGGGCCACGTGTCTGAGGAGGCGGCAGTCATAGAGAAACCAGTCCGACCTGGAATGAAGGGAAGCAGGAAGATAAAGGGTTCAGGAAGTGGAGCTGGTGGTGGGAGGTCAGTGAGGACAGGGAGGGAGAGCAGCTTAAATGAGACAAGAACCCAGCTTTCAGGGACCCAAAATCTGAGTACCCAACCATCATCCATCTACTCACCCACCCATTTATATCCATTTACTTATCCACTCTCCATCTATCCATCCATTCATCCATCAACTCATCCATCCATCAGCCCATCCATCCATCTGTCCACCCATTTATCCATTCATCCATTTATCCACCCATTCATCCATCTGTCCACTCATCCATTCATCCACCCATCCATACATCCGCCCATTCACCCATCCATCCATGTATCCATCCATCCATCCATCCATCCATCCATCCTTCCGTTCACCCATCCATCCACTTATCCATCCATCCATCCATCCATCCACCCACCCACTTATCCATCCATCTATCCATCCATCTATCCATTCACTTATTCATCCATCCATCCATCCACCCACCCACTTATCCATCCATCTATCCATCCACTTATCCATCCATCCATCCATCCACCCACTTATCCATCCATCTATCCATCCACTTATCCATCCATCCATCCATCCACCCACCCACTTATCCATCCATCTATCCATCCACTTATCCATCCATCAACCCAGTCATCCATCCACTCATTCATTCATCCATCCACTTATCAATTCATTCATCCATCCACTTATCTATCTATCCATCAGCCCCATCCATTCATCCATCCATACAATCATTTAGATATCCACCATCCACCTATCTGATATCTATCCATTTATCTATGCTCCATCCATCCACCCATCCATTTTTCCAAGTCAGTGTCCACCATCCATTTACCATCCATATTCATTGATTATTCGACCAGCACTCATATACAGCCTTCCATTCATTTAACCATGTGCTATTAACCCATCCATCCATTCATTTAAACACCCTCCGCTATCCTATCTATCCCTCACCCACCCATCCACTGGTCATCCATCTCCCATTCACTATCCATCTACCCCTCATCCATCCATCCATCCATCCATCCCTCCTTCCTTCCATCCATCCACCATCTATTCTCTTTCCCCTATAAGCCATCTATATACATGAGTCCACTCAAACACCCAAAACTCAGGAAGCAGCTACTACGTGCAGATACTTGCTACACACCTGGCTTCCATTATTTTACAGACCACAAGCTTCTTTAAGAGATGAGGAAACTGAGTTTCACGTGCTGTTATTGATGGTACAAACAGCGACCCCAAGAGGTGAGACTGATTGAGGAGGAAACGGAGGCTCTGAGAGCTTCCATCCTCACTCAGCTCCCACCAGTATAATGAAAGTGGACGCCTTCCCTTCCTGCCGCCTTCCCTCCTGTCCCCTTTTCAGCACAGTGGCTAGAGGTGGTCATTAAAAACCTAAATCAGATCACCTTCCTCCTCACTCACAACCCTCCTACGCAGGAGAAATCCCAAAGTCCTATCCCCTCTCTATCCCATCTCTCTTCTTTCCTTCTCAGCACTCATTATCATCTGCTATTATTATTATTAGAGATGGGGTCTCACTATGTTGCCCAAACTAGAGCGCAGTGGTTATTCATAAGCATGATCATGGCTCACTGCAGCCTCGACCTCCTGGGCTCAAGAGATCCTCTTGCCTCAGCCTCTCAAGTATATGGAACTACAGGCATGCACCACCACAGCTAGCTAATTATTATTTTTTTCTTTTTGTACAGGGAAGGTCTTGCTATATTACCCAAGCTGGTCTCAAATTCCTGGCCTCCCAGCACTTTGGGAGGCCAAAGTGGGTGGATCATTTGAGGTTAGGAGTTCGAGACCAGCCTGGCCAACATGGCGAAACCCCGCCTCTACTAAAAATACAAAAATTAGCTGGCTGTGGTGGTGCGCACCTGTAATTCCGGCTACTCGGGAAGCTGAGGTGGGAGAATCGCTTGAACCCGAGAGGTGGTAGGCTGCAGTGAACCAAGATAGCGCCACTGCACTCCAGCCTGGGTGACAGAGCAAGACTCTGTCTCAAAAAAAAAAAAAAAAAA